TGGGTACTGGGGTCAGGCATGTCACCATGAGCCTGAGAAATGGGGTGTCCACGAGCTGCATGTTCTTCAGAGCATGTCCAGGACTCTGGTGTGTGTCCAGTCCCTAGATCCTGGTTTCTGCTTCAATTTCTCTATTTACCCTTTAGGAGTCTCCACTTTTGACAGGGTCGCACTATCTTCAGCCTATCCTGCCAGAATGCAGCCCATCAGCAGAAAGCAGGCCAAGAGAAGGCTTCCCAATCGACTACACTTGAACCATGCCCCTGCCTCCCCCAACACTGCCCTGCACCCCTCCCCGGCCCCAGCCACCTCTGGGAAGGGATATGTTTCCTGGTCAGGGCCTGCAGCAGCCCCTCCACTTTGGCCTGGAATGTCACCAGGGACTCACAGGCACACGGATCTTCCTCTGCAGGGGACAGGGAGGAGGAAAAGAGAAAGAAAATCACTGTTGAGTGATTGCCCAGGGGGAGGGGGGACAGTCACTGCCCAGGGCCAGGACTCAGGAGTCTTGGGGGAGTGAGAGGCTCAGGGGACCTGAGAAGGCAGAAAGACATAGATAGTCCTTGAGAGAGCACCCTTAGGAGTGATGGAGGGGTAACCCCTGAATGTCTTCCTGGTCCCTTGGAGCCCTGAGAGTGAACTACGAGAGCATCCCTGTACGTGCTGCATGAAGAACACTATTAGGGACCTCTATGTCACCTCAGTGAGTTCATCCCAGCCCTTTGGGTTTGAAGTCATTTATCCCATCTTACAAGTGAAGAATTCAAGAAGTGAAACAACTTGCCCATGGCCAACAGTGTCAGAGCAAAGACACAGGCCCAGGCATGGCTGGCTCTGAAGCCCACATGCCTTACCACTAAGAACCAGCTGGTGAGGTCAGCAGGGAGGACCAGAGAGGCAGTAATGTTCAAATCCTGGGTCTCCCAGCTATTAACAGTTGTTCCGCCCCTTTGGCCTTGTTTATCCCATCTATAAAATGGGGGTAATGACATTCTTACCAGATAGGATCTGATGATTTAATATCCGGAGAGCACTGAGAACAGTGCCAGCCACGTAATAAGCATTCAACATGTTTGCTGGTAGTAAGAGCTGTACTCGCCAGCCCACTTTCTGGTTCTGCCAATTCCTAGTGCCACCTCGTCCTCTGCTTTTCCCCACCCACACTGAGTTCCAGGATGGCTCCACTCCCACAGTGCCCCACCTGCACATTCCATCAATGCCAGCCCTGGCCTCACTCACCCACACAGATCTTCTTCTGCAACTTCTTGCCTATCTGGTTGATGGTCTTGAAGTCAGCCGTGTAGAAGTAGTGCTCTGCCACAGGCTCTGAGGCTATTTCCCTCAGCTCATCCTCCACAGCATTGCCCACACCCACAGCAAACATCTTAAAGCCTGCCAGGAGGAACAAGAGAAGTAAGGCTGGACATGGGGACGGGCAACCATATGGCTGAGCCTCCTGGGGAAGGCTTAGGCAGCCAACACCAGACACCTCCTGCTGGCAGCTGCTGGAATTGCAAGCACAATGCCTGGAACAAGGACAATGAGGAAATCAACATTTCCTGAGGTTCTACTCTGTGTCAGACCCTATAGTGACTTCCCGTACTGGAAGCTTTGTTCAGCAAGCTTCATTTAACCCTAATAATAATCCATCTGGTGGTTATTTTTTCCTCATTTAATAGGTTGCAAAACTGAGACTAGGGCTTGTTCCAAAGTAGAGTTGCCTTCCAACAGTAGATGTGTTCTTGGGAATATCCGGCTGGAAAAGTTCCAAGCCTCACTTACAAAAGGACCATCTTACTTTTCTAGGGCCTCAATTTTGTCATTGGTATAAGAGAGAACTGGACTAACCAATCCTCCTCATTCAAACTCACCTGGGTTTAAGGCACTAAACAGAAGACAACAAGATAAACTACAGTTGGGCTGTACCCGTGTGTACCCCTGGACATCAGTGGTGTCCAAGGTCCAGGCAGGCAACACCTACCGAGGTCTTTGGCCTTCTTGGCAGCATCATTAATGTAGTCCTGGCTCCGGCCATCAGTGAAGACAATGCCCACCTTCTGGGCCCCAGGCCTAGCCCCACTGGACACAGTGAAGGAATTGTCAATGAGGTACTTGAGAGCAGCCCCAGTCATTGTGCCCTTCTCCATGTAGGACATATTCCGCACAGCCGCCTTGATGTCCTTCTTGGTGTGGAAGCGACCCAGGGGGAACTCCTGGCGCACAGAACTTGAGTACTGCACCAGCCCCACCTGGGCCAGCTTGTCTGACACATCCAGCGTATCCACGATCTGATTGATGAACTTCTTTACCAGCTCAAAGTTCTCTGGCCTCACACTCTTGGATCCATCAATGAGGAAGACCAGGTCAGTGGCCAAGCTGCCACCACCACCACTGCAGACTGGGGAGAGCAGGAAGGCAAGGGGATGAAGCTGAAGGACATAGTCATCCGTCCTGTACCCTGGCTGGGTACCCATCACACACCAAGCTCTGTGCTGAGGATCATTCCATTGTGCCCTCAGAACTGCCTCTATAAAGCCAAGGTGACGGGTCCCACTGTACAGTATTGGAAACTGAAACTCCAACAGCTGTGAGATCACACAGCTCAGAAGTGGTAGCACCAGGATTTGATTTTGAGACTATGTGAGTCCTTCTACCACACTAAACCCACCACCTATTGTGTTGAAAACAGGGACAGAAGTCAGGCGAGAACTTCTGCAGATACCAAATTCTAAAAGGCGTCTGTCTGCTTTGAAGATTGGTTCAGAAGTAGGGTGCAGGGAGGCTCGAATGGGTTTCCTGGGGAGTTGCTGAGGCCCCATCACCGCCCCTCCACACCCTCTCCAGGGCGAGCCTGTGTCCACCCCACTCACCATTGCAGGTCTTGCCGTCGCTGTTCAGAGTGAAGCCCTCACGGCAGGCACAGGTGTAGGAACCCGGGGAGCTGATGCACACCTGCTCACAGTCATGGTCCCCTGTGGCGCACAGGTCTGACACCACTGCGGGGACAAGAGATAGCTCAGATCTCACAATCACAATGCCTTGGGCACTACAGACAGGTTGTCCCTCCCTGACTGTGGATACCAGGCCCCATCCAGACTCAGGGAAACTAAGGCCTCCAACGTACTGTGGCCCAGGTCCCTGACTCTCAGCCCAGGTCTGGAATCACTGCACCAGTGCCTAGATACCTGAAGAAGGTTATAATGCTGATGATAAGAATGAAAAGTTCCACTAAAAAGGTAAAGGCCAAGGGTTAGGGCCTTTAGTCTGTTTAGTTCACTGCTGTATCAAGACACCCAAGTGCCTAGAACAGCATACAATGAACACAGCACATATCTGTTAAATACCATAAAATGAGAGTTACACCTTGCATTATCTCCCTGGATCCTCGGAATAACGTGCATGCTCGTCCTAGACCCATTTTGCAAATGGGTAAAGCCCCTGCCCTAACCCTGATCCAGTCCTACTGGACACCCCGCCCCTGCAGGTCACATCCCAAAGACCGCCACACACACCTCCCCTCCGAGAAGGGCTCTGAACCTTCTCCTGCCAGTGCCCAGGCCCCCTCAGACTCTCCCGCATCACAGAAAACTCTGGCACCCAAAACTCACGACACAGAAACATGTGTAGGTTTTCTGGGAGCTCTCCTTCCTGGGCTCCGGGCCCTCCTTGGTCCCTGCCAGGATTCCACCACATAAAAGGACTTTTTTTTTTTTTGAAACGGAGTCTCGCTCTGTCACCCAGGCTGGAGTGCAGTGGCCCGATCTCGGCTCATTGCAAGCTCCACCTCCCGGATTCACGCCATTCTCCTGCCTCAGCCTCCCGAGCAGCTGGGACTACAGGCGTCCGCCACCAAGCCCGGCTAACGGCTAATTTTTTGTATTTTTAGTAGAGACGGGGTTTCCCCATGTTGGCCAGGATGGTCTCGATCTCCTGACCTTGTGATCCGCCCGCCTTGGCCTCTCAAAGTGCTGAGATTACAGGCGTGAGCCACCGCGCCCGGCCATAAAAGGGCTCTTAACATCGCCTCTCCCCAACTCCCTTCACCTGGATCTGGAGACCCTCCTCCGTTATCAGGCTCCGCCCCAGCTACGGCCCCACCCCTGGTGCTGGCACCACCTCAGTCTAATCCAGGTTCCACCCCCAATCCACTTAGGCCCTGTCCCTAGCCCTGACCCCGCCCTGATGTTCCCGTGTAACTCAGTCCCCGCCCTTTTATAGGCTACCGCCCCAGCCAGGCCCCGCCCTCTGATGTGGCCCCGCCCCCGACTCTGAGTTTTCTGTCTGCACCTCCTCCCCGGCCCCGCCCCTAGCCTTGGCCCGCCTCAACGCGGACTCTCAGTCTGGGCGCCTGCCATGGTCTCGTCTCGCTTAGCCCTGGCCCCGCCCCTGGCTCTGACTCTCTCTGTCTCCGCCTCCGCCTCCGCCCCGGCCCTTCCCCGGCCCCGCCCAGGCATTGATACTCTCCGTCTCTCGGTCGCCGCCTCTGCCTCCCTGCCCCCGCCCCTTCCCCGTCCTGGCGCTGACTCCGTCTCCGCCTCGCCCTCGGTCCCGCCTCCAGCCCTGGCCCAGCGCCGCAGCTCTCCCCTTCTCCGCCCCGCCCTGGCTCCGCCCCCGCCTGCCAGCGCACCGCAGAAGGCCTCCTGGAACTTCCTGGAGAGCTTCTCGATGACGCTGTAGCTCTCCACGTAGTCGACGTGCTCGTCCTGCGGCTCGCTGGCGATCTGCTGCAGCGTGGCCTTGTCCACGCGGCCCACTCCGATGGCGAACAACTCTACGCCGCTGGCCCGGGCCCGCGCAGACACGTCCTGCACGCTGTCCTGGGGCCTCCCGTCTGTCACCACGATGACCACCTGCGACACGCGGGGCGGTGTGACAGCGGGCTCCGGGAAGCCCACGGGACTGTTAGGAGAGGAGGCTGAGGCCCGGAGAGGCGGGGGGACTGCCGGGGTCGCACAGCCAGGCGGCACCCGGGGGAAGAGGACCTAGCTGGCCAAAGAGGAGACCCCGTTTCCTCTGACTGAAAGATGTGGCGGAGGGGCTTCCCATCTGCGTCGCCTCCCTCGGGCAGGCAGCTCTGAGATGCCCGGAGGGATGCGATGCCCCATCGCCAAACTGGGGCCTCTAAGGTCAGGGCCATGCCTTCCCCTCAGACTGAGGCGGCTGAGGGCAGGATCCTCAGACTGATGGCTGTGGGAGCCGTGCCACGCCCCTCGTGCCCCCGTGAGGCCGGGCCGGGGGTCCCGTGGCTTCACATGGTGCTGTTCTGGGCTTTGGCCACCAGATGGCAGCCGAGGCTAAGGGATGGGGCCGCCGCTTCCCGTCCCGCTGTCCTTGTGCCTCTAAGCCCCGGGACCCTGGACCAGGGAACGGAGGGAGGGCCACTCAACCCAAGGAAGATGCCTCCCTTTTCTTCCTCCACTCCCCGGTATGATACATGCCCCTTCCAGAGAGGGAAAGAATCTGCCCGCTCCCCTCCCACTAGGCTCCTCTGGTCTGTACCCTGGAAAGAGAGGCGGCGGATTCTGAGACTCATCTTCGTGACCCCCTGCCTGCACCCGCCCTGAGGCTAGGGCGCTCCCAGCTCTGCCCAGTCTGGGTTAGGCGTCCAGCCCCCGTTTGCTGCTTCTCTGCTTCTGACTTGGGTCTGCATCTGATTCCTGGGTCCCATCCTTAGCCCCAGGCCCTGACCCCTTGTCGTGATGACAGGCAGTTTAGATAGGCCGTGGTTAGAAATGCAGCTCCACAGGCTACAGGTCACCTTCCTGAGCCTCGGTTTCTTCATCTGCAGAAAGGGGTTGTGGTGAGGTTGAGTGAGATGACTCGTGGTTAGAAGCCAGAAAGAGCAACTCTTATTTTTACCGTCATTACCCTGGGCTCCCTGGGGAGTGATCTTGCACAGTCTCTTCCTCTCCAGGGGCCTGGGCTCCTGGCTTTGAAAATCTAGCTGTGACTATTAGCTGCCATCCAGAGACCCACTGCCTCCTCGAGTCCCTACTCTCCCTGCTACCCGGCTTTCAGATTGTCCACCTTGTTGGGTCCTCCCACAGACGAACTCCAGGCTGAACACCTGGAGTCTGGCACCAGCTCCCCCAATGCCTCTGTGTCACCTGCTGGAGGACCTCACCACCCCAGGTCACCACCCCCATCTCCTTCACCCTCTCCACCACCTCAACCATCAGCTTCATCTGCAGCACCCCATGCTGAAACTTGTAGTTGACCTCAAGACCGACAGGCTGCCTGATATGTCATTTCTTTGAGGGGTGGTCATGGCTGGGATGATATGCTGTTGTCTCTGTGAACACTTTTCCCACTTATTGGCTAAGCAAGTTGCTTAAGCTCCCTATGCCTCAGTTTCACCATCTGTAAAATGGGGATACCACCTCTGAACAGGATCGTGCTCATTTATTCACTGCGTGCTACAGAGTGGGGTATGAAGGGGGGATAAGAAAGAGAACCTCCCCTGGGCTGGGGCCCTGGGCAGGGAAGTGGTGACTGGTGCTAACGAGGGCTGCGGTGGGGAAGTGCTGGAGCCTATGGGTGTACCACAGCAACAGAGGACACCTGGCTTAACCTCAGGTTCTGTGCTGAGCCCTGAACATGACAGTGAGGATATAAAGCCTGGGAAACGCTCAGCTCTCTGCCTGGAACCCTCGCTGACAGCGCAGGTGGCCGCACAACCTTTCCATTTCCGAGCCCCTGCCCTCAGAGGATTATGAAATTAAAAATTAGCAAATGCCATGACGAGGCTTATGTGGTGCCAGGCACCGTTCTGAGTGCCTTATGCTTATGAACTCAGTCCTTGTAGCAGCACGTGGGGAAGGTGTTATCATTACTCCCATTTTACAGGTGAGGAAACCGAGGACCAGTGAGATGACATCACTTGCTCAGGGTGGCGCAGCTTGTATGGTGAAGCAGGGCGTGAAACCAGACAGGCTGGTGGCGGAGTCCACACCTTCACTCCTCCCGTAAGCATCTGGTCTGTCTGCAATGTCTTCAAGGGGCTCAGACTGGTCGGGGAGCCAAGGTCAACTAAACTGAAATGATTGTGAGCTCCTAGGATGGAAAGGTTGGGTAAAGGTGGCTTCATATCCCACCTCTGTCACTTGCAGCTGGTGACCTCTGTCTAATGACCACCCCACTCTGACCCTGTTTCCCCAGCTATGAAATGGCCACCTCATGGGGCATCGTGGGAATTAAAGTGTCTGCAGGCAAAGCTCGTAACTCTGAGCGGGAGCCTCCAAACAACAGCATCCTAGCAGGGAGGTGTGCACGTACCTTGCTGATGTCAGGGGACCTGGAACGGCCACCCTCTGCATCGCTGAGGGCTTTGGTGATGGCGAACTGGATGGCCAGGCCAGTCATGGTGCCTGTGGACAGCGGCTGGATGCGGCGCACAGCCTGCAGCAGGGCGGCCTTGGAAACGTGAGCCCGCAGAGAGAACTCCTGCTTCACGGTGCTGGCATAGTTGACCATGCCCACCCGGGTGGCATTGGGCCCCACGTCCAGCGACTCGATGACCTGGGACAGGAATACCTTCACCTTCTCAAATTCTACAGGCCGCACACTGCGGGAGCTGTCGACAACAAACACCAGGTCCGTGGGCCGCGTCCGGCAGAGATGGCCTGGGAGTGGGGCAGGAGGGATAAGCAGAGAGCAGGGACACAGGTCAGGGACTGGGCCTGAAGACACAGAATGCGGCTTCTTAGATCCAGTGCGAGGCCTCAGGCCCGGTAGGCTGCAGACTTCAGCTGGGCTGGCTGAACCCTTTTGTCAACGTGCAGACACCAGCAAGCAACTTGTCACAGGCCCCTGGCTCAGCCCATGGGGAACACAGAGGACCAAGCCTGGCCTTGGGCCATTCGCTTCACTTCTCTGAGCCTCAGTTTCCTCATCTGAGCAGTGAGCTGGCAATCCTGCCTTACAGAATGTTCTGAGGAGCCAGGAGAGGGCTGGGCATGCAGTGAGTATTCCGGGGGTGGCAAAGGATCCCATGGCCTTGAAAACGTACTTAGGTTTCAGCCCAGACTTGCTGCCAGAAACAAGGGCAGCTATTTCTTCTAGCTGGGCAGGAGGGCACCAAGGATGGGCCCTCCGGGCATGGGCGCAGCCTTGAGAGCCAAAGCAGTGCCCGTCAACATGGCCTTTTTCATCTGAGCATCCAAGCAAATCACCAAAGTGGAACCAGTTTCCCTCAGCCTGGCAGCGCCTGCTGGCAGGTTGCCGAAGACAGGGGAAAAGGAGCAGGAATTCCAGGTGGCCACCTCAGCAGCCTGATCAGGTGCAACCCCAAGACACAGCCCCAAGGAGCAGTGTCCTCCAGAGACCCAAGAAGGCAGCGCTATGTGCTGGGAAATATGCAGGGTCGGAGTGAGTTCAGGCCTGGGTTCAAATCCTGGCTCAGCCACTCTGTCGGGCCCTGGGCAGATCATTGCACCTTTCTGAGCCTCGGTAATCTCACGTGTCCAGTGGCGAGAATGAGGCTACTGCATGACACTGTCACTGGCCTGGGCCTGCAGTCAGGAAGGGCTCACTACAAAGGCCCTTCCCTCCTCGTCCCATGTGGAGTCTGAACTGAGCAGAGCCAATCCCAAAGAGGAAAGGAGAAACGTGCAGGGCCGTCCCAACCCCCAAGTCACAGTAACTCACAGTGCCCCAGACTGGAGCTCTGGACATCAGAGTTCCTCAGGAGACCTTAGACATCACCATGCAGCGGCTCCCTGCTGTCTACGAGCTAAGGCTACAAATGGGTGAACTGAGACCCAGAGAGGGAAAGGGAGTTGACCACATCGTACAGCAGTAGATCAGTAGCTAGAGGCTCTGGGGCTATCTCACTGTGTGGTCTTAGGCCCTCGCTGATCTCAGTTTCCCCATCTGTACAGGAAGAATGGGCATTCCAGGACTCAGTGCCCAAACCTGAAACTCTGGGGGGTGGTGTTGCCCCCAAGGAGCCCACGGCTGGAAGGACCCGCAAAGGGGGAATGAGCTCTTGGTATCCCAGGTGTGCTCTCATCAAAGAGCTGTGGACTCAGCCCTAGGCTTGATGCAGCTCCAGATGTCAGCTAGCTCTGAGTAGCTTCTGCTCCCCAGAGACCTGGAAGACTAAGGTCTTTGCCGCATGCATGGTCCCTGAGGGCTGAGGAGCACCCCTGCCTGACCCTTATCAGCACCATGGTCCCTGTCTGCTCCTGCACCAGCCCACTGCCCACTGCTGCCACCCTGCTCCCTTTTCCAGCCTGGATCCCATTTGCTCCCTGCCATATCAGTACCCAACCCCCAGTGCTGACGGTCAGGGCCCACTCGCTCAGTATCCCCCACCTCACACAGGCCCCCTCACCTCTGGACTGGGGAACGAGGCCGGGGCTGCACGGGGCCTGGAGCAGCAGCAGGCTGCAGAGCACGAGGCTAGTGCCAGAGAGGACCCTCATAGTTCTGGCAGCACGGGCAGTAGCCGGCGCGGTTGTGGGGGCCAGTGGGGTCCAGGTCTTATCAACCTCGCTGCCCGCCCAGCCTCTGGGTCAGGTGGCCCCCAACTGACGACTGATGTGGGGGCAGCCCGCCCTGGCCCCTAGGCCCCCAGGGGCGGGGCTCGGGCTGAATGGAGGTGTGTGTGCCCTGAGAGGGCGGGAGCGCCTGGCCCGGGCTCCGGAGGCCCCTCTGACCACAAGGGCTCCTTTGCCTGCAGAAGCAACCAGAGCCGCAGCTGGAATTTGGGAAATCTCAGGTGGGTGGGGGGTGGCTCCTCCAGGGGCTGGAGCCCACACTGCCTTGAAGCTCCACCCCAAGCCCAGGCATACCTGAGTCCAACGGCCGAGCCCAGCCCTGCCCTGCACCTTCATTCCACACCCAAATCCTTCCCCCACCCACAACCCCAAGTTTCTCATTAAACGCACTTCCCCTTCCCTAGCCTCACTGCGCCCTGCTCTCTGCACACACCCTGCTCTCCAGCTACCCCTGGATTCTCCTCCAAGGCCTCCAGGCCATCGCACATGCACGGCCATCTGCCCAGAATCCTTTCCTCTCGCTAACTCTCTGCCTTGCAGTATCTTTCAAGGTCATAATCAGGGCTAACATGTACCTTCACTCAGTATGGGCAAGGCAGTAGAGACCATGGTTAAGAGCACAGACTTGGGAGCCAGGTTACCTGGGTTTGCTATACCAGCAAACCACCTGTGTGACCATGGGCCAGTGACCTCACCTCTCGTGTCTCAGATTCCTCATCTGGAAACTAAGGATGGTAAGAGCGCCTGCCTCCTAGGGTTGACTCAAGGAGCAAAGGAGTTAGGTGTGGTTTCTCAGTTAATCCTCATGACAACTTTGTAAAGCAGCTACTGTTAAAGAACAGAGAGGTGAAATAACTTGTCTGAAGTAACACAGCTAAGAAGTGTTATTGCCAGGATAGAGCCCCAGGCCCGGCTCTCGGCCATGCTGCTGTCTCAGTGCAGTGTGATGGGGGTGCCTTCTTCATGCCCATCTCTTCCCGCTGTGGGTCCCTGCTTGTCCCACCTCACCTGTGAGCCAGTGGATTCAACTCTACATCAGGCCCAGCACAGAGAAGGCAAAGATAAAGCTTTCTAAACAAAGTGAAATCACCAGGAACGATCCCTTTCATTGCATTTAGGTCTAGTAGGTCATGAGATAGAGCGGAAAGAGCATGGGCTTGGCTACCTGAGAGATCCAGGTTCAAAGCCACTTCTGCTCCTATCTGGCTGTGTGACCTGGAGCTGGTGACTTAACCTCTCTGAGCCTCAGCTTGCCATGGTGCAGTGGGAATGGTCGTTCTTGATCTCCCTGCCCCATGTGAGGAGCAAGAGGGGGACAGAAGTGGAGATGGGGTTAAAAGATTGTCATTGCTCCCGGAGGCAGAATCCTAAGACTTGGGACCTATGCCCTTCACTCGGTGTAAATTATCCTTAATAAAAGGAAATGTACAGACAAAAAGTGATTGTCGGGTGCAGCAGACCCAAGTCATGGCTACCACGCTCTCTGGCAATTATTATAATGATCCCGTCCACCCTTGACATGGCACAGTTACTCGTTCTATCACTCTATCTCCTTTGCTCTCCCAACAAACCTGTGAGGTCAGCAGATCTGAGTGTGTTGGCCCATTTGTCAGATGGAGAAACTGAGGCCCAGAGAGGTTCACTGACTTACCCGAAGCCACCCAGCCAGTTTGGGGCAGAGCCAAGCCTAAAGCTCAGGCCTCACTCGCCTTTGCACCAGTGTTAGGGAAGGAGGATGTTAAGAGCATCGCCTTCTGACTTTCTCCTCTTACATTTTATGTGTGCCTGCTTCACAGCCCTCCCCAATTCCAAAAACCACGTGAAGCTGCTGATTCCTTTTTCTGCTACAACTTTGAAGTCGAATTCTCCTCCAGAGGTGCTGCAGGGTGGGGCGATGGTGGTGCCTCTCCCTTCCCAAAATGGTGTAATAAAGATGTTACCTGTCTCCCCCACAGGACATGAGCTCCCTCTGAGCAGGGGACTTGCCTGTCTCAGTCACCACTGAATCCCTGGGACCCAGCGTGATGCCTGGCACAGGATCTCTGGTGAGCAAATGAAGGAAAGAATGAAAAGAACTAACTACGAACCGGTTCCATTTCCCTATAAACCACCCAGGGTCACACAAGGGCCATCGACGGTGACCAAGGATGAGAAATGTACAGTGCTGTCCTCGTGCCATGCTGGAGGTGAACGAGGAGAACGTGAGCTGGGGTGTCCTCACCAACTGCGCACGCCCCCCCGCAACTCCCCTGACGGCCAGGGCTGTGTCTGGGGCTCAGGGCACAAGGCTCCATTAGCTGGGCAGCAGCTGGCCCATGAAACAGCCCTTTCAGCTCCACCTCTGAATGGCAGTTCTATGGGCTCGTCGGAGGAACACAGGCGCCTTCTCTGTGTCACTTCTGCGCTCATTAGCAGAGCTGTAGAAATATACTACAGGTAAGTTTTCAGGAAGAGAGATGGGTCCCCCACCGACCACTACCAAAAAAAAATAAGGGCAGCTTTGGCATTCTATAGCAGGGGCAAGGCCTGGGGGCGGTGGTGGAGAGGAGATCTGGAAGTTCAGCATATACATTAAGGAAAGAAAATCAATATTTGTGTTTTTTTAATGTGAAACATTTTTCCCTAGGACTCAAAATCGAGAACAGTGTGTCTGGTATGAGCCAGAAGAAAAAAAAAATGCACGGAGAGGCCTTCTGTGTAGTTGCTCACAAGGCAAACAGTAAAGGGCTCTGCTGTTCCCTCCTCCTGTTTTCACATCCCTCGGGCTTCCAGAAACTTAAAGCCATTAGTGTTTAATGCAAGAGAGAGCATTTGTGATCCACGGAGAGGCCCCTGGACAGTGTGGTTCAGTGGGAAGCACCCAGGACTCCCTCTCCAGTGCTCCCAGGATCAACTCTTTCCCTCAAGAGCAAACTGGTTAACTTGCAATAACCTAGCTAACCAGATGCAACATCAGCCGGGGCAGGCTGCCCCCTTCACTCTTCGCTCACCATCATCAGTTTGGCAGTATCCACATACACCTTTACCAGTACTTATTTAATCTTTTTGTATAATTCACTCTAAACCAACTCACTTCTTAAAAATTTCTCTGCCTTCTAAGAAATAATAGCCATGAAATCACTGGTTTGATGTACGGTTTATTTATTTATTCCAATAAACATTCATTCAATATAAAATTTAAATAAATTCAAAACTAATTAAATTTAGCTTTTTCATCCACATATCACTGAAAATTTTGTTTTCTGCCTGTGGCATGCACGACAGACTTTGAGGAATGCTGTGAAGTGAAACGGCTTCAGAATCAAAGAGAGCTGGGCTTGAGTCCCCCTCAGCTGTGGCGATTTCCAGTAAATCCCTCCCTTTTCTTCCTGTTTCATGTCTGTAGCATTGGAATCTTAATGCTAATGCCACTGGAAGATTGTAAGGAAGCAATGCAGTGAATGCTACATCAATGCGTATTGGACTTTTTGTTTTAGTTTTTGGGTTTTTTTTGTTTTTTGTTTTTTGTTTTTAAGATGGGGTCTCACTCTGTCACCCAGGCTGGAGTACAGTGGCACAATCACAGCTCATTGCAGCCTCCACCTCTCTGCTTCAGGTGATCTTCCCACCTCAGCCTCCTAAGTAGGGAACTATAGGTGTCCACTACCATGCCCAGCGAATTTTTTTTTTTTTTTTTTGGTAGAGACAGGGTTTCACCGTGTTGCCCAGGCTAGTCTCGAACTCTTGAGCTCAAGTGATCTGCCCACATCAGCCTCCCAAATTGCTGGGATTACAGGCGTGAGCTACCATGATGGGCCAATGCTTATTGTTCTTACAATGCCTTCTTATATCAGTCAGGCTAGGACAGGCTATGTTGCAATAACAAACACGCCCCCCAAATCACAATGGCTTAATACAGGGTTTGCTTCTCTCTCCTGGCACCGTCCAGGGCCAGGCAGGTGCCCCCCACATAGGCCCTCTCCAAAGTTGCCTCCACCATTTCCAAGTCCTTGTCTCTGGCCATGTGGACAAGAGAGAGACAGCAAGGGTCTCTCTTAACTGCCTCAGACAAGGAGTACACGTTACCTGACTCTACCTGGATGCCCAGGGCCAGGATATGGCATTTAGTTAGCAATGACAGTCTCTGTCACCATTGCCAGAGGGGTAAGGCTTTGTTAGCCCTGTATCACCTCTAGATGGAAATTCAGACTTAGCTGGCGTTTAAAGCTCTTCACTGTCAGCTTCCTTCCACCTTCCGGGCCATTGTCAGTCTTTCTCTTTCTCCCCCTCTCCTTCCCTCCCGCCGTCTCCCTCTCTTCTCTAGCACAGAATGAGTCACTCCTTCTGTTTTCAGAGCCTCCCAGAGAGACTCCAGTCCTCATACTAACTCCCTATCAGAGTTTGCCCTCAATCCATGGTGACCCATTTTATTTGTGGGGAAATGTCAAACCCTGGAGCTCAGGCTGTGAAGGAAACTCAAAGGTTATCTCCACCTGGCCACCCATGCTACTCACCTGTTGTTAAAACTACAAGCTCCACCCCTGCTACGTGCCTTCTCGGGGCCAGAGGGTCAGCTGTCACCCCAGGAGCAGCTGTGAGAGCTTCCCAAGCGAATGGTTCCTGCAGTCAATCACAATGGAAGAAGAAATGAGCATCTGGAGGAGCGGGCTCAGGTTTAGCACTGGGAACTCTAGCTGGCCCAGTTAATGCCCCGACCCATGGCCCTTCAGCCCACTGTGGGTCCAGCTCACCTACAGCTGCAGCAGGTAGTTCCCAGGGACGTGGGCAGTGGGCCAGGCAGCCTGGGATTTAACATCCCCAGGAGTAACCCACAACCCGTGGGGATCAGAAGACCCCAGCATCCCCATCCCCCACTGGACAGTTCTGAGACACGCTCCTCACCGTTCCTCAGAAGGTCCCCAGCAGGAGTGAACCCCAGTTGCCCACAGAGGTGACCAGTTTATTCATGCACATTGTATTGGCTTTTATCCTGTCCCCACCTCACTTCCCCTCACTGTATTTCCTGGGATCACCTCCCAAATAAGCTACCTGCACCCAAGTCCTTTTCTCAGGATACCTGGTCACATCTCCAGGCCTTGGCCCAACTGTTTTCCAGCCTGGCATGTTTCCCCAGCAGGTAGAGCAGAGTAAGCAGCAGGCGAGTGTCCTGTTTGACCATCTAGGCCACTGAGATGGCAGCAAAATTGTTTCTCAGGTGGATGTTGTTTATTTATTTAGCACTGCGGCTCCCTCGTGCCAGCAGCTCTCTGCTGTGCCCACTGACCATCGGAGCGCTCTTCGTGGCTGATTAGGGAGGCTTCCTCCCGGAGACCCAGGAGACAGACTGGAATGTGAGTACTGGTTCCCAGAGAGCCCATCCGGGAGGGCAATGGGCAAGGCCTGTGGCTGCAGAGACACACAGTGGCTGCTTCTTACACCCTCCGCAGAGGCCCTGCTGCCACCCAAAGACCCAAGGAGAACCCAAGGATGGGTCCTGCCCCTGACTTCCTTTAACCTGCAACTGCTTTTCTTGACACTTAAACAGTTTCATTGCAAATTGGAGACACTGCCAGAGTATCGGATTGGGCATGAATCTCTGGTCTTCCCAAAAGTCAGGCAGAGACGTGGCGGGACCCACAGTCACAGGGCAGGTTCCTCATCTACAAGGTGGCCATGCTCATCCCGGCATTCAGGAGCCTGCAGTGCAGCTGGGCTGCTCCTCCTGCCCAGGCCCCATTCGGACCACAGTACCCATGATCTGAGATGTCACATGTGGTTCATGACGCCTCCCATGTGCTGTCTTGGTCTCAGGCCCCACGCCTGGTCAGCCAAACTGGAATCCAGGGTGAGGAGGCATGTGCTTTCATCCGCGGGCCTGTCTGGGGAGGCTACGGTGCAGCAGCGCGTCCTGCTGATGAGTTAACACCTCTGTGAACTTGAGTGACACCCACCCAACCTGACATCCCACCCACACGTCCACAAGTAGTGCTCATATCTCAGCCTGCCTCCTTCCTCGCTCTCCTGAACTCCAGACCTAGAGACCCAGCTGCCTCCTGAGCACCTCCCAGTGAATGTCCCCCAAGGTAGTGCAAATCCAGCACCACCGAAACTCGATGCGTCCTTTGCCATCCCCCACTCTGTGTCCTCTGCTCAGAGCTGGGCATCACTATCCAGGGGCCTGCAACATCCAAAAGCTCCCTGCCGCCTCCGAGGCCTCCCTCTTATGCCAGGGCCCTCCCAAGAGGGCTCAGAGCCTGGAATAGGAATTAAGTGAGGGCCTTGTGAGGTGGAAGTTCCCAGAGGAAGGGTGAGGTTACCCAGAAAGGTCTAGAGACACAAGCTCAGGTCCATTTGGGTGGACTGAAGTACAACCAGCTCTGCCCCTTGGCCGATGCATGACTGTGGGCAGAGGCAGCCCCTCCCTGAACCTCAGGAATGATCACCACCCAGCACCTGCCGTGTGAGGCCACTGGCAGCTTCATGGAGCCAGCACACTGAAGGGCCTGCTCAACTATGGGGACCCTTCCTGCTACCGTCACAGCCCCTGAGAAACCTGAGGTTGCCCCACTTAGCACCCCAGGTTTAATTTTACCAGCTCTTTTTTCCCTCCAAGAGACAGGCACTCTAGGCTGCCCTCACCTGCCCAGGCCTGGGAGCAGCTCCCTCTATCCTGGGGCTGGCTCCTTTCCAGGCATGAAGTTCAAACAGGCGCCGTCAGTGGGTCCAAACCATCGCAGCCCCGTCAAAGGACCCCTGTGTGAGCCTCAAACGGGGCATTGATAGGGCCTGGGTGAGGGCTGCCCAGGCGATCGTGGGCTCGCTTGGCTTGGCTGGTCATGCGGACTTCCCCAAACCCAGCTATTTCCTGTCCCTCGGGTGGCCCCCTCCCAGCTGCCTGGCCACAGGGTACAATCCCACTACACAGCTCAGCCTGTTCCTCGGCTCCAGGCCAGAGGTGGGAGTCGGGGAAGGCGGGAAGGACAGGAGAGTCACGCTGGCAAGTTCAGGGCCTCCTGGTCCTTGTGATACAGGCAGCCATGGCCCTTCGGTCTCCTTGTGAAAGGATGCAAGACTGGGCCAATGTCTCTGCTCCTGTGACCTCTGCTCTCAATCCACACTTCCTGGGGCTTCTCAGCAGGCCCTCTTCCCATGGGTCTTTGCAAGAAGCAACAACTCACGCAGACTGGGACTCCAGCCCCTCTAATAGCCTCCACTCGGAGTAGAAAAAAAAAGGTGCTTGGTCTCATCTCTGACCACTGTGTGGCCTCAGGAAAGTCACTTGATGTCTCTGGGTCTCTGCCCTCAAGTGTGAACAGGAGCTCGCTTTCCATTTCTGTGAGTTACACTGCACCGATTGCTTGGGGGTCTGATAAGGAGCAGATAACATCCATGAAGAAATCTGCCATTTCCCCAAAAAACTGACACCACCAGAAGGTTGACAATGCCTCTCAAACTCATCCCCGTCCCTACCCCCCCATAGGACGACTTCCCCAGCCTTTGTAGGGGTCCCTGCACTTGGGCTTTTCCTTCCTAAAACCCAAATCTTGTAACTCCTTGGCCCAAAATCCTTCAACGACACTTGTCTCGGGTTAGTCCATGTTCCTCAGTGTGACATTCAAGGCTCTATGAGGGCGCTTTTGGTATTGGTGACAGATTCCAATTCAAACAGCCCTGGTCTCTTTATTAACTTTACTCTCAGGTGAGCCCTCAACAGCTCAGCTACACCAGGGGAGAAAAGATAAGAGATGGAGAAAGAGAAAGAGACATTAATAAAGAGTTGGAGTCCTGGATCCTGCCATACCTGAAGCCGAAAATCCCTGGATTTTTTATTTGTATGAGAGCCAAGAAACGTCGTGAACCACCTTCTGGTTTTTCATAATAAACTTGGTTCATAAGGCTTCTGTTACTTGCAACCACGTCCCTCCTGTAAATTCCCTTCTTGGCTGAACTTAGCCAGGGCGAGCTTGCACCCAAAAAGCCCCACTGTCTGCAAACGCCCTTTCTCACCCAGACCCCCACAGCTGGCCCACAGCTGGCTGGCCTCCTCTCCCTCCCCACCCAACTTGCAGCCACGCTGAGCGTCTCGCCCCGGCTCCTCTCCCCAATGCCACAGAGTCCTTGTACGTCCTGCTACCTAGACCT